TCCCATGGGAAAAGTGTTTTTCTTGCAAATTTTTGCTCGAAAACAAACTTTTGACAGAATTTTTTTCACTCCTCGAAACTCTCCTTAGTCCTTTTGAAAGCTGATTTTCCCGCGCGCCGGCTTCAACGAATCATAGACAATATATATCATAGACTTTCATCATAGGAGTTAGCCTTCCAGTTATTATTAGAGTTCACTGTCCCAGAGCCTTCGATTCAGTTCGATTCCTTCCCGAGGATCGCAGGCTCAGGGAACGAGATTGATCAGCAAAATGTCCAGTGATCCAGTATGTATTGATGATTTTGAGCAACATGCTAAAACATTTCTACCCAAGACATACTGGAAATATTATTCCAGCGGATCCTATGCACATATTTCTTTTGAAGAATCAAAAAATGCATTCAAAAGGTATCGTGATTTTAATAATAATGAGGTTTTCTCAGTGTTTTAATACCGAATATTAGCCAATATTTAGAATATAAATGACCAAATGATATATATACACAGTTAGGGACCGGTCATTATTTATGGAAGGGGGAAGGGGAAAAAATAAGCGGGGGCCATATGTATAAATAGATGTCTAGAAGGGGGAGCTATTAAATTTTTTCAAGAAAATGAGGGGGGGGGGTGTAAATAAATTTGAACGAATTCGCATAATAAGCCTGGTATCCATTTGGTTGTAAATGTTGCGAGTAAATCATGGTCACTGATATGAAATAGTCTGGAAATAACTTGTCTTCTGTGTGCTGTATGCAAATTTTATCAGTCTACTGATTGCAGAGATAAATTGACAATGTATTATTACATCAGCTATCTTGATGTGGTTAAATACATTTAAGCGAGGTTAACGGCGGATGTATTATCACTATTATGCAGGCCATGCACATCCGTTAAGGGGAGTCTTTGACGTCATATCGATCAAAGATTCAAAGGGTGTTGTTTCGTGTCTTGTGATCAGTGCTTCGATACCTTTTCTCCACCCACGCACCCATGTTTATTCTAGAGGATTTTATCTGGTAGTATGTTGTAATTTTTAATCTCATAAAATAGAATGTATAGACCACTATACATTGTATTTCGCTTCCACTGACTTGTCAGTGCTATGGTCAGTGTGACTGGTACCG